GTTTATTTAGCTGCTGGAGCAGATTTAAACGATGATGCCTCTCACTTAAATCGTTGTCACTGGTTTCATCTTCACCCAGTCACCCGTCGCATTTAGTAAAGTGGAGCCAAACTTCGGAGTTCCGAGGAGAAAGTGAACGCACCATTAGTGAAACGGAAGGTAACACATCAAGCTAACGTTAACTTAAACATTTTATTTACCTACCGGAGCAGATTAAGATGAGGATGTCTCACTTAGATCGTTGTCGCTGGTTTCATCATCACCCAGTTACCCATCACATTTAGTGAAGTGGACCCAAGCTTTAGCGTGCGTTCTTTCTACCATGCTGCTCTGTTTACAACTGGCTCGCAGCGACCGATGACATAACGCTCTTGCGCATGCGCAGCTGTCTAGGCAAGTTCTCGTTGTGAAGGACGGGTACCGAAACGAGGCACCGCTTCAAATGAAGTGAATCGGTGCTCGGTACTATGGAATTCGGTCGGTACCTTAAAAAGTACCGAATTCGGTACCCATCCCTAACTACAGCTGTGAGAAAGAGTTAACAGCTCATCTGATTCTAACACTAAAACAATCAGTTACAAACACTCGTAGCATATCCTACATATGATCATATAGTCTGGCCATGGCACATTGATAGCTCTCCGTCATGGGGCAGGATCTATGGTCTCCACAAGCTATTGGACAACAAATAATGCGATGTACTCACCACTACGGATGTCAGCCAATGGGGAAGTCCATCAAACATGCAAAGCAAAATGATTTTTGCTTTGGCAGATGACGGTCTAGACTCTATAGCTAAACACTACGCCTTTTACTGAAAACATTTGTTTACGGATCTCTTTATTACATCAGTTTATCTCCTCGCCGGTCCACAAACTAATAAAACCTGTGGTGATGCTGAGTCAATTCAATTTCACTTACAAACATAAAAACCTGATTTAATTTTACTAAACAACCTTTCGACCTAAGGGTCAAATACTACGTAGACCAGACTTTGGTCCTATTTCTAAGCTGAATAAATAAATAAATAAATAAATAAAAACGAATAAATAAATAAATAAATTATGGAAAATATTGGGATGTTGAAGTAAGAGGTCAAACGTCATTACTTTACATGATCATTATCTTTATAACGATAGTTTTAATATTATTTACAGATGATTTTTATTACATTACATTTAATTACAACCCATCCTGCCCCAAATGTTTTTAATGGGAAAGCTCAGAGTTTTAAAGAGAAAAAGCACTGTATTTGTAATTTTTAGACAGCGTGGATCTGCTTTTACTATTTTTGGCTAATTACAATTAAATTTGAAGGACTATAAATGAAAGATTACAATTATTTAATTTTATGATGAACAAAACTAAAATTAAAACTATCTGATCTGGTGTGATTTAGGGTTTAGTGCTGGGGCATTCGCAGCCGGGGAAAAGCAAATGTGTGATATTGTTTGTTGCATTTCTAAAAACACAAAAAGAGAAAAACCAGAAATAAAAAGTCTAAACCATAAAATAATTACAACTTAATAACTTATTGTGTTCTGAACCAAGTTTTTTGTCCATCGTCTCAACATTTCATCTTCCCTCAAGCCCTCTAAGGTTACGTAATAACTGATGACCTCAACAGGAGTCTCAGAGAGTGGATCTGAGTTCAGCTGCTGTAACACAAGCACGCCGCCGCTCTGACGAGTCAACGGGCTTCCACGCACCTTTCATAATCAGAGCTGTGGCTCATTTCATCCTGTCAAACACTGCTCAGCTGCCCCCTGCGCGACACCCGGTTTCACCTCCAAAAAACAACATTACATCACTCGGCCCGTCGTTCTTGTAAATGGAGGATCCCCCGGGCTCGAAACCGTACACTACACAAACGCGCCACGAGAAAGCGGGCCTTTTGTTGAGGTTGAGAGGAAAGAAATTAAACAGTGAGTCAAAGCGGTGCGTTCACGTAGCGTCTCGGTCAAGAAGTGGTTTTGTTTGACACGGCTGGAGATTTATGGTGTTGATGGAGTGTTTACAGAGGTCAAAGCAGCTCATTTTCCAAATCTGTTTGTCAAGTGTTTGCTTATTTAAAGAGCCCTTTTCATCAATCAAAACGTGATGGTAATGATGACCCAGACAAAACAGTCCAAACTTTAAAATATGGGACCAACAGATTTTTTACATTTCTCTTTGTTTGCCTACATTTAGTTAAAGTGACGTTACGGATTCACGGCTTTAAAACAGCTGAGTCAAACAGACTTTAGCGACCAAACACACACGAACGTTGAGTTTTACCTAAAAATCGTAGATTGTGTCTCTTTTGAGGAGTGTTTCCTGGCACGTTGCTTTAAGTAGAACAGCCTGAATACGCCCGGAATGAAACAGAATAAAGAACTGTACGGACATAAAAGGAAAACAGAGGCCGTGCTTTAAAGACAATCTTCCTTCCTTCCTCTTTCCTCCGCTATTGCACTTGTTTACACTAGCAGATGGTTCTGTCGGCCATCCCTCACTTCATCCCAGCAAAAACACACAGCTCGGGTCACAAGTTCAGGCTCTAGATCAGCGCCAGCATTGTGTCCTGCAGGTGCTGTTGGCTGCTCCAGGGACGGCCAGCCATGGAAAAAAATACACTAGCAAGAAAACACACACACACACACACACACACACACACACACACACACACACACAGTACACGATCTGTGTGCACAAGTTCCAGCAGCTCAACTGAAGCTCCGAAGAGACACAGCTTCAGAGAACCGCTTATTCATAGCTTAAACATTCAAGAGTTGCTTATATCCAAACGCCCTGATGCATTTACGGGTGCTCCAGGTACCACGTGGTTAAATACTCCGCTGCTTCGGTTCACACACCCCCAAACACTCTATGCGGGAGACATTCATGTCAGAAGGGTCATACTGACCGTATCATTACATCTAGAGGTCGACCAATCACGATCAGCCAATGGTCGGTACGTGCTGCCGATGTTCATAGCCGATATTTAGATGTTTTCCACTTTATTTGCAGGCTGAAATGTCACTAACAAAATGTCAAATGCTAAATTGAACCAACGTTGTGCAATTAATCAATTAATACATTAATCAAAAAAATAAATTAACTGACCAAGTAATGCTAAATTGAACCAACATTGTGCAATTAATCAATTAATCAATTAATTAAAATAAATCAATTAACTGACCAAGTATTCAATAATCAAAACTGGACCATGTATTGTGCAGATGTTATTCCGAAACATTAATATTGTTTAAAGTACATTCTGAAGCATCACTGACGTGCTTGACTTTAAATGGGCTTTACTAAGGTAGTCAGCAGATGTGATGTTTTAAAGATGGTAAATATCGGCCTGATGCATCAATCTAGCCCCAATTACAACCAAAGCTAAAGTCACCGTAGTATCGTATCAGGTTTTATAATTTGACCTTTCTGCTAGAAAAGACCTGACTTAGATCAACTATGGCCACGAGAAGTAAAATGTTGCTTTAATAAATGAAAATGTTAGTTTTGAACTAGACAAATAAAAAAGTATCATTTCTATGTCACGTTTTGCCTTCAAAATCCACAGATCTGTCGGGTGGAAGGTAATGTTAACAACCTGTTAAGTAACAAAATACAATAACATCCAGAAGGCTCCAAATATGCAAACTCTACTAAAACTGGTGCTGAAATTTGAGCCAAAGTGCATATTTTTTTAAAATGTCTAGTTTTTCTTAACCTCTGCATCACCCAACTTTTTTAAAGTGACTGTAATAATCTAACTGTTCTGCAGTTTTATGCAATGAGAGGGGTGTTGGTACTTTTCTACGTGCTGTAGTCTGTTTCCACCCAACCTGACCGAGCAGCATAAACAGACAAAAGGCGCCCAGTTATTCCTCGGGGTAGCGTTCATGACGATTTGGTTATTTTCTAACTGAGTCAAGGTTTTATTTACCTGAGGAGAAAATCACTGTTGAAAACTATCTGAACACTAACTCCAAACACTGATTTGAAGCAGCATAAATTTAAATGTTGAATGTCCAACAGGACACATTTCCACACGCTGACCGTGAACAGGTTAGCAGCTGAGAAGGAAAGAGAAAGGGAGTGCAGGCAGGAAGCGATCCGAGTCACTTTGCACTCTCAGCAGAGCCGAACTCTGAATGAACTCTGAGGAGCTGCAGGGAGTTAAACACTGTGCATATCTGTGTCACTTCCCACCCGAAAATCTTGCCAAGACCAGAGAAAGGTCTCCAAAAGATGCCCCCTCTCCCAAACACACACACACCTACATGCCTTCCCGAGATTAAGGCCACATCGAACCAGATAAGGCAGCAGGTAAGCACTGAGCAAATGAAAGCAACAGGTGAGGTGGCATGACACAAACACACCAATACAAACATCCACCATCACAAAAGGTCAAGTTTGAGTGAGAATAACTTAGCAGACAGTTTAAACGTTCTTGCTCCTCTGCCTCACTCATTCTGTTTGATTTTGCGCACTAATGAGTGTGAAACACACCGAGAGCGCAGCTCTTGCAGCAAACCCACACTCTTTGGCAACTCGATATCTCATCGGGGAACGTTTCTGAGGGGAAACCAAGGAACCACAGACGGGATGCACAACGTCAGCTGGAAGTCCACTGAATTCAGTCAGTGCCAATTTTTAAAATGTCACAGCGGATGGGGCGGGATGTGAAAACATGACTTTGTTGCTTTATTTCCCTCTGAGCAATTATTCTGCTGACACGCTGCTTTAATAGAGAAACACAAAACACAATGGAGACAGACGTTCTCACTAGACCTGACAGTTAACTCACAAGGAGACCGCGGTCGGTTTGTGACCCTTTTACTCAGCAGGCTCTGAACAGCTTCACCCATAACACTAAAATGAAAAGTACCGTTGGAGGTAAAGAAGCACGGCGGCTACGGGAGGAAAACATCTGACGAGTCAGGAAAAATCAGACCAGCAGCTGGCCCGGCCGAGGATGCGTGGTGGTGCCGCAGAAACAAAGCTGGACATACCTGTCTTTTCTTTGATTTCACACAGGACGTTGAAAAGAGCTGGCTTCATTCTGTGACAGTTCAGAGCGTGTTTCCTGCAAAATACCAAAGGATTTATGAGCAAAAATAAATGACAACTTCTGCTAATTTGGACCACAACTAATTATTCAGTATCAAATATGATTTGGACAAATAAAATAATCATAAATACAAATAAAATAGCACCTGTTATTGTGTGTACTACAGTGTTCTGTATTGTTTGGCACTTGCCGAAGTTGTTTTATAGGTAATTAAAATGCATATTTTTAAAATGTTGTATCAGTGGTTAGAATTTGTAGCCAATATGGAAAAATTCTCTATATTTGTGAGAATAAATTTACCTCCGAAGCCATCAGCGTTTGTTTGTTGAGCATTATTATTTACCCTAGCAATCAGGAGCTGATGAATATAAAATTCAATGTTAATGTTAATTTACCTCTATTTAAATAATAATAATAATAATAATAATAAAAATAAAGCATTTTAAACTAAATCCAGTCCTCTACAAATCACTGGTCTATGCTGAACAGAATATAAAGCCAATGTTTTCATGTGAGGCTTCAAGTGTTTCAGTTTTTTTTTCTTATAATAACACTTTGCACTTCCCTCTGAGAAATTTAACACATTATTTTGTTTTAATTTAATTATTTCCAAGTTATTTTAATTCTGAATTTAAGTTTTATTTTATTCTATGATCTGACATCTTGCCAAAAGCTTATTTTATTTTTATTATTTGTCTACACGAGATCAAAAAGTTGCTGTAATATTTGAAGTGTTATTACATCTTAATTAAAATGTAATCTATGTAAATATAAATAAGTTGTTCAGCCTCGCGCTGACAGCTTGCCGCCGGTGTACCTGGCCTGAGCTTCGTCCAGACTCTGGTCCGTGATGGTCATGATTTGCTGCAGAATGTCTCCGATGTCCTGCTTCCTGCCGTCTCCGTCCGAGCCTCCGGTGCCGTCCTGCATGTGCTGCGGCAGACCGGGGTGCCCCGCCATGCCCACCCCCGTGTGAGAGTGCATCAGCCTCGGCTGCTCGTCCATTTCTTCTGACACCCTGCGAGTCTTATCTAAATCTCTGTGGCGGCTTTGCTGCTAAAATCCTGCAAAAATACATACAATAAAAAAAGAAGCAGAAAAATGGAGCACGGAAAGGAAGGAAATCCCGAAATTTGCGCTGTGTTTTTGTTTAAAAAAATTATTTTTTTTTAATTTCTGGTGTATTTTTCTTCGCGGGAGCGTTCAGAGGCTCTCACCGAACAGAAAAACAAAAAACTGGCTGCGGAGAAGAGCCGCTTCAGCTCAGCTGGTCGGAGCAGAAATGTGATCTGAAGCGCTTCTGGAGTGGGCTGTGGGTTCGGACCGGAACGACAGCTGTTCTCAACTACTGACGGGCACGCACAGGTCCAAAAACACTGTCCCTCTTTTTTTTTAATTGGAAAAAAAAGTGACGGTGAGAAATAAAAAGGAATTTACTTGACTCAGTCCATCCTCTTGCTTTATTTCATATCCAGAGCAGGATTGGAAGGCGGCAGCAAAGCGCAAAGAGCACGGGACTCGGGCTCCGCCCACTCCCCCATGATTGGAAATGCGCTGGATTTAGCCCCACCTTGAGGTGCATCTCCTGAAAAAGTCCATCAGAGGAGGCTAAGTGTGAAGTGTGATGAAGAAGTGAGTGATGGATATCCTTCATTTCACATCAACATATGAACATGACTGAGACGTGTGGAGAGGGCAAGTCGTTTAGGTCAGTGGATAGGGTCCTTGACCCCCCAAACGGGTCCCCACAAGATTACAAGGAATCCCAACTATTTTGTCTGTGCTGAGCAGAGCCGTGTCCAGGACTTTTAAAATGGGGTGGCCCATGTGGGGCACTTGCTTATGCATGGGTGGCACCAATGGTTATGCTTATTTATTTATTTACACAAATCGTTTGTTTATTTACTTTCTAGTGAATTTTGGAGTTTCACATTGCACAATCACCATTTTTTTCTATTCATCTTCTAGTTTTGTGGTGGTTAGCAAGTCACTTCTTGTTGCATTATTGCCACCGACTGGAGTTGAGTGGGACTAAATACTATTTATGTGAATATGAAAAAATAATAAATAATATTAATACCACAGAAATGTTCTGTAGGCCTGGGCTAGAAGACAATGTTAAAGGTGCATGCTACCACACACTATTTTTGGAGTTTACAACTCAAGCCTTTTGTCGACAATGTAAATTCAATTTAAACTGGAACTTAGTAGGGTGGCACCTGGGGGTGGCCAATCAGCTTCTAAGGGTGGCATGTGCTACCCCAGGCCACTCCCTGGACACGCCCCTGGTGCTAAGGTTGCAAGGTAACAAAGATTATATTTGTAAAAAATTGCATTTATAAAATACCAATAACACACCTAATAGTATGACTCTGCATATGAGTTTTAATGCTGTATGCCTGTATAAAGTTTTGTAATTAATCACTCTTAATGTGTGGGACAAGAGTTGGGGTTGGGGGGCCCTGGCTCGTTTGACACAAAAAAGGGGGCCCTTGTGGAAAAACGGTTGGGAACTGCTGGTTACCTGCCAAAGACAGGGGTGTCTCCAGAAAGTTTCGAAGGGGGCCCAATCATTATATCAGGGTGGCGCACAAAAGCCCAAAAACTGTAAGAGAAATTTAGGTTGGAAAAAAAATCCTGCAACATGGTAGTTAGAGAATCACCTTCTGATACAGACCTATTCTATATTTCTGTGAAAAAACTACATTCCACCTTACAGATTTATTCTGTTCAGTAGATACAAGTGCCATCATGTTTTCTTGTATTAAGGGAAAGTTTTCCAAATAACTCTCACTATACGTGAAAAAGCAACTGCCCCTTTGTTGAACCATGACTAAACTTTGATTTAACCACATTATTTGCAAACCTGAGAAGTGTTCAAAAATAACTTTCTCAAGGAAGGTCTCAATCTTTAGCAGAGTCCTGCAATTGAGTGAGTATAAAGGTTGTTTAAGTACATACATTAAATTTTATGGGTACTGGTTCAGGTCAGGGCCCGGTCGGAAGTTCCTTTAAAGCTGTAATAGCAAATTTGGAAAACATATTAACTTTAAAAATACGTCCATACCTCCTAACAACGTTCTCACATACTAGAGCTATAAATCTATTTTGAAGAAGTAAAAAAATGTAATTAATAAAGCGATTCTCTTGCATTTGTCTAAAAACCTCTACCAATAACACGGCCTGGGCATGGACTGAAAAGCAACTATTGGACCATCTGTCTCACCAAACCGCCGTATTTTCCTGAGTCCTCCATTCATGACGCACTCACATATTTAGCAGCAGAACACCTCGGTAAATGGTAAATGGCCTGTATTTGATATAGTGCCTTCTAGAGCCCTGGAACCCCCCAAGGTACTTTACAACACAATCAGTCATTCACCCATTCACACACACATTCACACACTGGTAGGGATGAACTACAATGTAGCCACAGCTGCCCTGGGGCACACTGACAGACACAAGGCTGCCCAGCACAGGCGCTACCGGTGCCTCCGACCACCACCAGCAGGCAAGGGGGGTTAAGTGTCTTGCCCAAGGACACAATGAAAGCGACAAACCGAGCGGGGCTCGAACCTGCAACCTTCTGATTACGGGGCAAGCACTTAACTTCCTTCTGTGACACATTTCGCACTCCATACAACTACTAAAGCCATGCTTCACCATGGTGTTAATACTTTTTCCAATGAAAATGTTCCACAAGGGTCTCCTTCAGCTGGTAATCCACGACCCATTCTACACTTCGAGAGAACCTCTGGTTGCCATGAGAGTGGATATTGTGACCATTTTATTTCAGAACTTTGCCAAAATAACACACATTAAAAAAGTGAAAAATCCTGTTTCTTTCAATAATAAAAACACAGTTGTTTTGCTGTAGCATGCACATTGATTTTGTTCATTCATTTCCAGGTATGTTGCAGTGCTCCGCTTGGCTGACTTTGGCAGAGTCCTCCTAATGTAAAGCGGTGACCCATGTCACGCAGCCAAGCAGCAAAGGCCCGAGTGTGTCTGGCCAGGCTGAAAAGTGCCCTTCAGGCCCAGCGCAGCCTCATTGTTGCTGCTCCCCTCCACCAAGAGCCATTCAGTGGCAATGGGGGAGGTAGGGGAGGGGAGGGAAAATAAGCTACAGTGTGGAACTAAAGTATGAACACTGCTGTGCAAATCACTGGCCTGAATATATGAATGTGTGACACGATTAAAGCATGAAACGTAAATTATCATTATGAAATGCTGAAAGATTAAAGATTTCATTGGCACACTGACATCTCTAATATAAAATTTCACAAATTTTCTTTATTGCATTTTAACAACATAACGTTTAAAAACATTGTTTTAAAAACAAAAGAATATCCAATGACATTTATGTGGAAAATATCATTAACCTTAAATGTTACAAGTACTCTATAAAGAATTTTTACTGCATGCTAATACACCATGTAAAAGTGTGGATTTTTAAACAGATAATCTTGACACAAATTTATGCGCTGTGATGTTTCACATGCTTTTACAGTGCGTTTCGGTATGATTTATAGATTATTCCTGTCCTGTTGTAGAGTTCTGCCTGAAGGGCATTTGTTCAGTGAAATATCTTTAATGCCCTCAGAACACCAGTGTGTAATGCTGACACAATTTTATAAAGGTAAGTACACGATACTTACTAGGGTACTTGGTCCTTATGGAGGTACCAACAAGGTAAGTCAAGGGTACTTACAGGATAATGTATAGGATATTTATGGGTGTATGTGCAGTACATATGCGTGTATGTGAAGTGTTTCAACAGGGACTACGCCCTAGAGACTTGTTGCCCAGAACACACAGTAGAATGCAACAAGCAATCAAACCAGGCGATCAGTAACATTGGAGCACCACAGGGGACTGTACTCTCACCATTCCTTTTCACCCTGTACACCTCAGACTTCCAGTACAAATCAGAGACCTGTCATCCACAGAAATACTCAGATGACTCTGCAGTTGTCGGGTGTATCAGAGATGGACAGGAAGCTGAGTACAGAGAGCTGGTGGAGCGCTTTGTGGCATGGTGTGGAAACAATCATCTGACCTTGAACGTGAACAAAACAAAGGAGATGATTTTAGACTTCAGAAGAAACAGGGTGGAGTCAAACACTGTTTCCATCATGGGAGAAGAAGTGGAGGTGGTTGAGGAATACAAATACCTTGGAGTTCACCTGGACAACAGACTGGACTGGAGAAAGAACAGCGAAGCCGTTTACAAGAAGGGACACAGCAGACTGCACTTCTTGAGGACGCTTAGGTCCTTCAATGTCTGTAGCAAGATGCTGCAGAACTTCTACAAGTCTGTTGTTGAGAGTGTAATCTCTTCAGCCATCGTCTGTTGGGGTAGCAGCATCAGAAGCAGGGACCTGAAAAGGCTCAACAGCCTAATTAAAAAGGCTGGCTCTGTTCTGGGGACGACTGTGGAACCGCTGGAGGAGATAATGCAAAGAAGGATTCTCCAGAGAATCAAGAAAATTATGGACAACCCTGAACGTTCTCTTCACAAGACTGTCCGACAACGGAAGGGTGTCTTCAGTCAGAGGCTTCTTCAGTTTTGCTGCAACACCGACCGCTACTGGAGATCCTTCCTGCCAACAGCCATTGTAATATACAATAACTCTTTGATGACTTGATTATTATTATTATTCTGAGCTACTACAGCAATCAATTTCCCTCTGGGATTAATAAAGTATTTTTCAATTGAATTGAACAAAGCTGCACTAGGTCTGGCCATGAGGTCACCCATTCTGAAACACAAGGCTGTTGAGGAAGCCATTTACAAGATGTAAGATAGTATTATTGATATTTTGACACAAAAAGAGGGGTGGGTGGGGATGCTGGCAGTTCCTCACACAAGCCTAAATATAACAGCACAAAGCATGCAAACCAACGCCATACCTACCCCTCCCTCTTGACGGTAGGATGGTGGTTTGGGGACCACAAAGACACGGGCGGGCGGGACCTGATACAGCTGTATGTAAAAATGTTGAGAGACATAGTCCCTCCAACGTGTCCTGGGTCTACCTTTAGGTCTTCTCTCAGTTGGACATGCCCGGAAAACCTCACCAGGGAGGCGTCCAGGAGGCATCCTGACCAGATGCCCGAGCCACCTCAACTGGCTCCTCTTGATGTGGAGGAGCAGCGAATCTATTCCGAGCCCCTCCCGGATGACCGAGCTTCTCACCCTGTCTCTAAGGGAGAGCCCAGACACTCTGCGGAGAAAACTCCTTTCGTCCACTTTTATCCGCGATCTCGTTCTTTCGGTCACTACCCAAAGCTCATGACCATAGGTGAGGGTAGGAACGTAGATTGACCGGTAAATCGAGAGCTTCGCCTTCTGACTCAGCTCTCTCTTCACCACGACAGACCGGTACAACACCCGCATCACTGCAGATGCAGCACCAATCCGCCTATCAATCTCACGCTCCAGTTTTCCCTCAATCGTGAACAAGACCCCGAGATACTTAAACTCTCCCACTTGGGGC